GTGTACTTTCTCTTATCTTCTTTCTAAAACACTTTCTTCCACATCTATCAGACTGCCCAAGAGCACAGGAGGAGTTACAGACCAAAAATGGAATAGCCAGTCCTCCTCTCGATCATGGTATTAAGATTCTAGCATTCCAATTCAAGCTTCTCCAAAATGTTTCAACAGTGTATGCTTTCTGTGTGTTTGTGATTAAGAAAATGATGTACCTTAAAAGCCATTCCAACCTCCTGTGATGTGGTCATAAAAATTATTTCAACATTAAATACCTTATTCCCATCCTGTCAGCTCTGAGCCCACTGCTAGATGAATCACTGGAGAAATGGAATGCTTAGCAAAATGTTTTTCTTTCTGATTGCTGGGCTGAGGCTCATTCGATTAAAGGATAAAAGTAAATTGATCAAATATGTGGATGCTTGCAGTTTATTTTTATCACTGCTGGGCAACATTTGAAATGCAGTCTTCTTATGAAATCTTCCTCCCTCTGGTTCCCTGCGAAGGAGGAAGGGCCCATGGGGCAGGCCTAACATCCCCACCATGGGTGAATGGCCAGTTTCCATTCTGAGCCTTCCTGAAGCTTCTATAATGTAAAGAGCTCAGCATCGGCAGAGCCCCCTTCCAGCGAAAGAGCCCAGCGATTTTATGACAAGCTGATGTCAGAGCTTGCGTGGATTAGTGGGAACACACTCAGCTTTGCATGATCAATCTGCAGGGTGCACGTTCTGTTAACATCTCTCATTCTATCTTGGGGTCCCTGCACCCCCTCTTTCCCACCTCTGTCTCCTTCACCATCCCATTATCCAGGATACTGAGAAGAAACTGGGAGAAAGCTAATGAATGTTGAGAGAGAGAAAAAAAAAGGAACCATTGTTTCTCATTCTAGCTATGTCCTTAATCTCAACCCCCGCCTACTTCTAGAAGCTTCTGTAGCTAAGGGAGTGACTAGCTACCTTCCTGCAATGAAATACTAACACTCATTCAACTGTACTGTTTTTTCAAATATTACCAGTAACAACAAATATAATAAATAATAAAAGTGGTTAAGTGTCTTCTACATGCCCCAGATGCATAGAGGCCTGGCACTCCTTATCTCACTGAAACTTCGCCCAGCTGTGTGTGTCATTGTAAGTCATGCTAGGGGATAACTCAGGTACAGCAAGCTGAAGCACTCGAAAAAGTCAGACAGCTTAAGTTGAACCACTGCATTTTTCCTTTGCACCCTGAGTATGTAATCACAATGCACAAAATGTAGCATTTTGTTGTTAAAATTTATAGAGTACTAACTCTGCATCCTGAGAAGTTACATGTTTACTCCCTCCTCGGATTCCCACCTTCCAGGATGTTCCTCCCTGGATGGCCCAGCCCTGCTGTGTCTCCTCCCAGTCTCTACTGAACAAGGATCCCACGAAGGGGCTCATTTTTACAAAGAGTAAAGCTCCTTGGAGTAGGTGGTCTCTGTAAAGAGACATTCCCAGTAGGTCAGTGAGACCCTCACCCATGGAAGAAGAGGCCAGAGGGGTGTGCATGTGTGAGAGGGAGCAAGTTTCTCTCATAAAGCAAGTCTGCAGTGCCAACATGCCCTATGAGCACTGGTTCAAGTCTTGGCTGCTCCACTTCCCATCCAGCTCTCTGCTATGGCCTGGGAAAGCAGCAGAAGATAGCCCAAGTCCTTGGGCCCCTGCACCTGCGTGGGAAACCTAGAAGCTCCTGGCTCCTGGATTTGAATCGGCACAGCTCCGGCCATTGCAGCCAATTGGGGAGTGAACCAGTGGATAGAAGACCTCTCTCTCTCTCTCCTTCTCTCTCTGTGTAACTCTGACTTTCAAGTAAATAAATCAATCTTTTAAAAAATTAAATTAACTGTATCTTCTTTAGGCTGCCCCAGATGCCCCTCATTGTACACACACACACAACACACACACACACACAGATTTGGAATTCATTCTTCCCTCCTTTGTCTATTACTCCCTGGACAAGGGGGTAATAAAATAAGCATAGGTTCTGGGGTCAATCTGCTTGTGTTTGAATCTGGTTCTGTAACTTATTAACTGTGTGATCTTGGTTGTATCTCTCACCTGTAAAATGGGATTGATGACACACCTCAAGTATGTTGGTGGGGGGTGTGCTTGGGATCACTGTGATAAAACCTACAGTGCCTGGCTCATAGCAGGTGATCAACAGGGATGAGATGAAGGCACAGGTGTAGGAGGGACCAAGAATTCAGCCTTGAGGGATGTAGGAAGGGTCTGGCATGGTCAACTTTTAAATCCATGGGACTGGAAATGTCTTCATACCTCCCTTCAACCAGGTATCTGACAGTTTTCTGCTTATTGAGGGAGTTTCTGAAACATTTTCTGACTTGCAGCTGTGAATGGAACCAAACAGTACAGGAGTCTACAGCCAGCCACATACCCTGGAAAGTTAAGGGACCTGGGAGAGCTACTCCGTGTCCTCAAAATACCTCTTACTAAAGTTGACAAACATAGCTGGAGGAAATGCCATGTGGACAAGATATGGGGAAGCATGGGCTTTTTTTTTTTTTTTTTTTTTTTTTGGAGGATTTTTCTTTTTGCAAACAGCTTGCAAATAAAAGCAGGAGTCACTGGACACGGTGGAGCCATGGCGAGAAGTGCCAGGTTAATGACTAGGCCAAACCACTGCCAAAAATAGCAACGTGCCTTGTGCAATCAGCCTCCGAAACTGCAGCTGCAAGCACAGGGCTGTCTGCACAGCTGAGGACACGCGGGGATTGGTTCACTTCCCTGAGGCTGGGAGCAGAGGCCTGTGGTCCGCCTCTGACTCAGCATGGAGAGGCAGCCCAGAGTGAATGGAAGCTCAACCAGCCACCCCCCACCCCCAGCAGAAGGATGCAGGGGTCTCAGAGCCAGCACGTATTACTAGACTGGACTGTTTTCAAGTCCTAAAGTGAACCAGCTGAGATTATTTCTAAAACACCATCCCACTCAAGGTTTTGAATTGAAGAATCTGCCTTTTAATGGGATTTGATTACAGACAGAACACAACGTCCTTGGCCTGGTTCCCCCCTTGCTATGGTGCAGCATCCACCCCGGCCTGGGCCACCCACAATCAATATCAGCGTGTGACCCCTCTTCGAGATGATCTTGCTACTGTCCTTGTAACTCTTACAGGGCCATGAGAGAAAAAGTGCCAAGAGTGGAAGTGAGAGGGTGAAAAAAATGAGAATGAGCTAGGCTGCAAGTGCAACAGTATGGAAACACACCAGGGGGTGGTTTAATGCATTTTAGTACATTCACACATTTCCCCTCTTGTACACAAAGAGCAACACTTGCTAACACAAGCCAAAAACTCAACTCATATGAACTGCCATCCTTGACTTCATTTTAACAACAACAACAAAAAATTCTTCCTTTTTTGGGTACACAAATAGATTGATGGACTCCAAAATGGAAATTAGAATGATAGGAGACAAACTGGTATTATTTATAATAATCCTATTCTGGCAATATAGAATATACCTTTACATATATTACAAAAATCTAGAAGAATTTCTATCAAGGTGTTAACCATGAGTATCTCTAGGTGGTAGAGTTAGAAATGTTTTAAATGAATCTCCTTTTGAAAATTTTTACTAAAATATTTTTGTAAGTGGGCCTGGCATTGTGACACAGTGGGTTAGGACACTGCCTGCAATGCTGGCATTCCATACGGGCACTGTTGGAGTCCCAGCTGCTCCATTTCCCATCCAGCTCCCTGTTAATAGGCTTGGGAAGGCATCAGTAGATAGCCCATGTTCTTAGGCTCCTGTGACCCATTTGGGAGACCAGGATGAAGCTCCTGGCTCCTGGCTTCGGCTAAGTCCAGCCTAGCCATTGTGACCGTCTAGGAAGTAAACCAGCAGATGAAAGCTCTCTCATTTCTTTCTCTCTCTCTCTCTTTCTGCGTGTGTGTCTCCCTCCCTCTGTAACTCTGCCTTTCAAATAAATAAATATTAAAAATATTTTTCTAAGTGAACATGAATTGTTCTTATAACTGAAAATTTTTTTCAATTTTAAAATTTTACAAGTTGGTATATGAAACTAATTGAACTATCTGACTCCTCAAAAAGGCCAGAATTATTGACAGCAAGGTGGAGGTTAAGGCCATGTATTCAATAACCAAGGGATGGAAATGGAAGGCCTTTGAGGAACAATCCCTTTGAACTATGTGGTGCATGCATTCAGTGTTTGCCATGTCATGGGCTCAGTAACCTTCCCTTGTAACATTTTTCTGATATACAAACTCAGTTTGACATTAACTTCATACTTATGTTGCCTACAAAGGATCCTTCTTTAAAAAAATTAACCACTTAATATTCATTATTTCTACTAAGTGCTCAAAGCCGTAATATCAGCTGTGAGTAATCTGTATGTGTTGGATAAATGAATGAAAATACCAACATGTGTCAGGCATTTGGCTTACCAGTCAAGATGCCCACATCCTCTGCTAGAATACTTGGGTTCAAACCCAGGCTCTGCTCCCAATTCCAGCTTCCTACTAATGTACACCCTGGGAGGCTATGGGTGATGGCTCGGCTCGAGTATCTGGAACAATGCCACCCACACAGGATAGCTGGATTGAGTTCCCAGCCCCTGACTTTGGCCTGGCCCAACCCTAGTTGGTACGGGCATTTGGACAGTGAATTAATAAATGAGTGCTTCGATGACTATCTGTCCCTCTGCCTCTTAAATGGATAAAATAGTAAAAATTTAAAAGAAACCAAGACAACAAAAGACATAAGCCCTTCCTTGAAGGAATTCACAAATAGTTAGAGTTATAAACTGTATTTTATGAAGCAACTGCAGGATAAAATTAAGAAGAGACTTACAGTAGGAAAAACGAAGAGTGTGGGTAATATTTACTAAATGCCTCCTGTGTGCACACTGTGCTAAGTGATTCTTATTGTTACCTCAACTCATCCCTCAGCTAACCTGCTGTGTGTTATATTTCCCTGGATGACTGAAGAAGTCAGGGTTCAGAGATGTTAAATTGGTTCCCAAATATGCCATGGCAGCTAGGGGATTGAACCAAGAAAAAGGACTTCGGGCTTTTGGATCCCAAGTCAGTATGGGAACTGACCTACCCCCATATCCTGCTCTATGCATGGTCTCACCTGAGTGAGGCGTTTACAGAGAAGCTGTGTGGTTTCCAGGAAGCCTGGGAAAGACAGACCGCGGGGCAGATGTAGCAGGAGGGATTCCAGTGGTGACGGTGTATCCCAGCCCTGCGAATCTGCCTGTCTTCCTCTGATATGCATCCAACAGCATACGAAGGTAGAGTCCCACACTCTTCAAGGCGTAATGATTGGCCCAGCTCCGGCCATCACGGCCATCTGGGGAGTGAATCAGTGGATGGAAGACTTTTCTCTCTGTCTCTCCCTCTCTCTGTCTGTGGCTCTATACCTTAAATAAATTTAAAAAAATATTTTTTTTTTAAAAAAGAGGGAATGCCCACAGCCAGGAGACACCCACTGCTGTAAGCTGGCCATGGCTAATGCCTGCTGGGCCCAGAGCTTCTGTGCTATAAGTCCCACCGAGAGCAAATCCTCAGCCGCATGACGCTGCTTCCCTCTCTCCCAATGCCCAATAGCAGTCCCCCAGTAAGTCATTTTCACAAGAATCCCCACCTTACAGAACCCCCATTACCAGAGGCACCAGATGGAGGCCCCAATTCAAAGGCAACAGGGGAAATACATATTTAGGAAAATAATTGCTGGATACCACATGTGACTCATTGTAAGAACTAACCAGAAAGTAGTCTGCTTGCACCTGCCCCTCAGCTTTATGGACCATAGCAACAAGAGCCATACTGCCCAGGCACATGCTCCAAGGGGCAAGGTGAAGTCCATACTCAATGGTTTCATGGTGCAAAGATAACATTCTTTAAGTGAACTTTTTAAAGAAAATTTAGACTGAACAAATGGAAAATTCCACACGTGACCTCATGATGGAGGTCACATTCAAAACACAGGTGCACTGAAAATATTGTGTTCAATTACCTTCAGGGGGCCAGTGATGTGGTGCAGTGAGCAAAGTTGCTGCCTGTGGTGCCAGCCTCCCACATCAAAGCACCAGGTCTTGTCCTGGCTGCTCTGCTTCTGATTCAGTTTCCTGCTGATGTGCCTGGGAAAACAGCAGAGAATGGCCTAAGTGCCTGGTCTCCTGCTGCCCACATGTGTGACCTGGATTCAATTCCTGGCTTCAGTCTGGCCCAGCCCCAGCCATTTCAGCCATTTAGGGAATAAACCAGCAGATGGAAGATCTCTCCTCTTTTCTTTCTCCACCCTCCTCCCAACTTTCAAATCAGTAAATCTTTAAAAATTACCTTTAGCCTATGTGTATAAGGTGAATATGAACCATAGATGGATTTTGTGTTTAGACTTGGGTCCCATGGCTGAGCTATCTCATTATGTATATGTAAATATTCCCAAATCCCAAAACAAAAGCAAAACCAGAACACTGCTACAAACCTAGAACAAACCTAGAACACTTCTGGTTCCCAGCATTTCAGAAAAGGGATGCTCTACCTGCATTTGCAAAGAGATGCCAATGTATGCCGGACTTAGCTTATCAATAAATAATCATTCATTATAAATGGTCTGACACAAATCCACAGACAATCCTGCCTACACATGTCATAGAAGAGAACACCCAGTTCCAGACTAGGCAGTTACAGAAAAGCATCTCGTAAACTGGCCTGTGGTTGAGGCATCAGACTGCAAGTAGGCTGGAGGGGATAAGAGCTGGAAAGGCAAGTGGGGGGTGGGGGTTGCAAGATGCCCCACTGGCAGATCAGCAGCCCTGTGGTTCTACACACAGAAGCAAACAGGCCTGGGGCAAGGCTTCCTTTTGTGTCTTCAGACTATGGACAGCAGCCAGGAGTCGTGGGTTCTGATCTCAGCCAGTGAGTTGGAATGGGAGGTGCAACCAGAAAAGCCAACCTTCTGCGAGACTTGTTGACTCTGATATCCGACGCCAGAGATGGCAGGTGTGCAGGACAAACAAGTCCTCGGCCATGCCTCTTAGCCAGGCCCTGTCACCAGGGGCCGAGTCTGGCCAGGCTCAACTGAGACACTGTCCTTGATTCCCTTGGGAACCTGCTGGGCCAGGAGACATTCGCTAGGGGTGGCTGAGATGGCAATGCCCATGTGCCCGTACTTTCCCAAGACGCATCACAGTTCAGAGAGGCTCTTCATAGATTTCATTCTGTTTGAATGGCCCAGCACCATCGAAGTCTAGAGCAGTGTTTATTGCCTTCTTAGAACAGGATGGAAGCTCAGAAATTGGACTTAGCCAGTATGGACCAGGTGAAAAGTAGCTTGGGTCAGAATAGTCTAAACCCTCTTCCTGAGTCCCTTCTATGGAGAAAAAGCAGTGGTGAATTTGTGCTCCAAGAATTCCAGTCCAGCCAAGCTAACGTCTTCAATGTATCACCTGCCACGAACTCTGGGCTGTGAAATGAGATGAGGCCAGAAGACAGAGCGGCAGCTCCCAAAAGAAGCCTGGGACCCCGACTCTTTACTCTTTCTAAGGGAGCAGTGGGGGTCCACACCCAGGTCAGAGAGTGAGGGGCGCTGACCCACCCACTTCAAGGCCTGGCCATTCTCTTCTCTTCAAAGCAGGCGCGCAGATCTGAGGTCAAAGGTCGAGTCGTATTTCTTACTGGTCCTTTCAGAACGTTAATGGGCTGCTTGTGGCGAGGGCTTTGCTGAATGCCAGGCTGCTGTGGGCCACGGCAGCTTCTAAAGAACAGGGGCTTGTTAAATGGGCACTCTGGAGTTCCCCATTTCAGTGAAAAGGGTGTTTGAAACTCAAGAGGGTCTTTGTCATTTAGGGGAAAGGTTAAGTCAATTATTTTGTCTGGGGATGATAAAAGATGAGACGTCAGCTTAATAACAGGCTCCAGGTCCGCGAGAGGCCATTCTGGGGAAGACGGAACCACCTGCCCGGCCTCTCCAACACAGAAGAAGAATTGGGCTTTTGTGGAGATGAGGCGATCCGAGAGGCAGATGAAAAGCTGTGTAGGGCATTAGAGCCTTCTCCTGCTGGGCAGATGGTCAGTAGGACTTCCTGAAGGAAGCATTGGGAAGGGAGGTCTCGCTGAGGGTCCCCTAGCGGTGGTGCTTTGGTTTTTTGACTGTGATTCACCGTGTTAACACTAGAGGAGAAAAAATCAAGGAACGCCAAGGCCTGGATGGAGAGGTCCTGACTGCTCCTTCCCTGCTGAATACATGCAACTTAAATTCTCCGGGCCTCAGTTTCCCCATCTGTCTAAAGGATCAGTGACACCCAGGCATTTCTCCTATCCTGGGACCATGAAGAGGGACCAAGATGAAGTCGTGAATGCACACTTCAAGCCACATGGCCCTGGAGAAATGAAAGAAATGATTTTTCCTGGAATAAGTGCTGATTACTTTACAAGTCTGGTGTGCATTAGTTTTCTTCCTGCTTTGGATACAGTTGCCGGATTGCTTTGGATCCAGCCTTAGAATAATGTGCCGATTATTTTCTTTCTGGGCTCAGACCTCTCTCTTCCTGCGTGCTCCTCCTTGAACGTGTCCACTTTGCTCCAGCTACTGCCCTCCAGTCATGGAATCCGGCCCGCTAGCGATGGAGGGAGGGGCCCTCACAGAGCATCATTGAAACCCTCGCCCCATCCATCCTGGCTTCCTTTCATAGCGAGTTCTCCCACTTCTCCCTGGATGCCGCTAGTATTGAGGGAACTCCCCATGTCATTTTAAAAGGTATTTTTCTTTTGAAAATGTCAGGTATACACACAGAGGCAGGTAACATTGGTGAGTGGCATGGGCCAGGCCAAGATGAGGGGCTATTGAGGGTGGTACCTAACAACGGAAGAGGTGCTGCCACCCACACTGATGGATTACGGTCCTGCAGGAGTGTGGCCCCAGTGACTAGACTCAGGACTTTGTCCAGGCCTGGGGTAGCCAGAGCGTCCAAAAGAATCATAGTCAAAAGGAGGTTATGCTTTGGGCCACTGAATAACACCAGAAGCAGCAGTTGATTCTGAGAAGAGGGGTCAGGTGTGGCTACCTCTCCCAGTGGCGTGCTTCTTCCTCACCCGCCAGTGCAGCCCCTAAAGGTGCAGCCCCTGTTGCTGTCCCAGGAGATGGCATTCCCAACCTCCTTCAGTTTTACTTTATGCAATGGTTTAAGGTTTTAAAGTCAGCTGTGAGTCAAACATTTCTCAAAGGCTGTACAAATCAGGCAGAATATTCGCAGGGAGATGAACACAGCACATAGATCACCAGTTTGTTATGTCTGCTGCCCTAGAACTGCCAGCCATGGTCTCAGTTCTACTCTTGCCATAGAGAAGAACTCTACGACGGACCTTCAGGGATTTGAAGATTTTTCTGTATCCTGTCTGGGTATTTTCACCTCCAGAGTAAAAATCATTAGCTAATTTTTACTGCATTTTCTCTCAAACTACTAGCTATGTCATCTTCTTCTCAGACCAAGGACCCTTCAAACTAGACCGCTGGGAGAAAAGTAGTCTGTGTATGCTCATATTTGCACGACGCCTACATTGATGAATGAGGACTCCTGGTAAGAGCCAGATTCAAATAGTAAGATTCAGTTATTTTGACAGCCTTAAATTATCCATTTTGGGGGCCAGCGCTGTGGCGAAGAAGGTTAAGCCTCCACATACAGCACTGGCATCCTATACGGGTGCCTGTTCAAGTCCTGGATGTTCAACTTCCTATCGAGCTCCCTGCTAACAGCCTGAAAAAGCAGCAGAAGACGGCCCACGTGCTTGGGCCCCTGCACCCACATGGTAGATCTGGAAGAAGCTGCTGGCTCCTGGCTTCAGACTGGCCCAGCTCCGGCCATTGCAGCCATTTGGGGGAGTGAACCAGCCAATGGAAGACCTCTCTTTCTGTCTCTCCCTCTCTCTGTAACTCTGCCTCTCAAATAATAAAATAAATATTTTTAAAAACTATTCATTCTGGATATCTTTTTGAGACGCTCTGAGAATTAGAGCAGAAAGAGAGCGTGGGCATCATTTTTTAGCCCGAAGGTGGCAAATCTGTTTCATAGGGGCATCTGACTCAGATGGACAGCAAGGGAATCCTGAGTGTGATGTGTTGAAGGGGAAACCGAGGAAGCCTGGAGAGACGACCAGGGAAGGGCACGAGAGAAGTGGCAGCACGGATGTCATCTACCTTGATAACAGGGGTTCTGACCAGTTTCAGTGGATTTTTATAAATGAAAGGGTGGGAAACTGGAATGCGATCTGCAGAATCCATGTTGCTTGGCTGGCCCAGAGATCCCCTGAGCCACCCAATCCTACCACAACCTTCCCTACTGTCTGCATCTGCAGGGGTTACAGGAATAAAGAGGCCATTTACCAGCATCTGCTGGTCAACTTAGGACTGACAAAATGCCCAGCTCTGGCCAATGACACACGAAGGAAAGTTGGCTAGAGTTTTCCACTTGAATTAAAATGATAAACTCTAGCCCTTTGATCCTTCCCCTGCTGGTGGGACAACCTCAAACACAGAACAGCAGTGGCCATTTCGTGACTATGAAGCAACAGCCACAAGATGAAAAACAAAGAATAAAGATGGCAGAGTTAAAGCATAGGATGTGTTGGGGCCTTTCAAGTTGCCATTGATCAGCCATGTCAGAGAAGTGCTTCACGGCATTGGAATGGGTGAGGATTTGGGGATAAGATCTCAAAACCACAGGAAACAAAAGCAAAGATTGACCAATGCAATTTCACCAAATTAAAAAACTTCTACATAGCAAAGGCAGCAGTCAACAAACTGAAGAGTTAACCTAAAGACTGATATTTGCTAACAAATTCTGGTGAAGATGGAGAGAAAAGAAAAAAACTTTTACATTGTTGGTGGGAATATAAATTAGTAAAGGCATGGGGAAAACTCTATGGACATTCCTCCAGAAATTAAAAATAGAACTACCATATGATCCGGCAATCCCACTACTGGGTATAGACCCAAGGAAGTGAAATCAGTCTGTTAAAGAGACGTCTGTGTTCCTGTGTTTATTACAGCACGATACACATAGCAAGGCAATGGAAACATTCTAAGTGTTCATCCAGTAATGAATGGAAAAAGAAAATAAGGTCTTTATACACAGTGGAA